AAGTCTCCTCGGTGGAGGGTCCTGGATCTGCCTGCGTGTGCTTTTTCTGGGGCCCGCGGCTGCCACCCTGGCTTGACCAAGGGGACTGCCCCTTCTGAGAAGAGGAAGCAGCCCAGACTTGGGGAGGAGGCCCTGGAAGCTGACCTGATGCAGACGGGAGACTGGATCCCGCAGCTCATGGGTCTATATTTCTCATGACTGTAGCACTTCCTCCTACCTTCTGAGTTCTGTCTTTGCCCTTAGGATCCTGTGTGCTTGGTGGGTCACAGGGCTAACTAACTCCTTGGTTTTCCTGTTCACCTTACAGCTTATACCACAGGGAAATTACATTGCTGGGTCAGGGGGTTTCTGAGGACCACACTGGAGTTTTCCATCACTCTCCATCAGAGAAATAATCCTGACCATTGTTGTAACTTTAAATTTGAGTCTTCACATTTTGTTGTTGTTGTTAAGTGCCGTCTAGTCGCTTGCGACTCATAGCGACCCTATGTACAATATCCCTAAACTCTGCTCTGTCCTGTGCCAATCTCATTGTCTCTGACACACTCATCCCGATTACCCCAGTCACCGAATCAATCCATCTTCTAGAGGGCCTTCCCCTCCTGCTCCTGCCCTCCACCCTCCCAAGCATGATGTCCTTCTCCAAGGACCGGTCTCTCATTACAACATGACCAAAGTATGTCACATGAAGCCTCTCCAAGATGAATCTGTTTTCTTAGCAGTCCATGGTACCCTAAAAACTCTTCTCCAGCACCAAAGCTCAAAGGCATCAACTCTCCTTCTATCCTCCTTGGTCATTGTCCAACTCTCTGACGCATAACATGTGATCGCAAAGACCATGGTTGTATCAGACGCACCTAAGTCTCCAGAGAGACACCGTTGCTCTTCAGAACTTTGGAGAGGTTCCTAACAGCAGACTTTCCCGTGGCAATACGTCCTTTAATTTCCACCTCCTATTTTATCTAGGGCCTCTGTTGTGATGCCTTTCAGAGTAGTTAGCATGCTAACTGTATACTAGCCAGTTCTTTTGGTCTCAGGCTTGTAGAGATTCAAGATCCTTGGTACTCGGGCCTAGTTGCTCCCATGTACCTTTGATTTTCTTCACTCTTTTTTGGGCCAGACAGGGAGAAGCCGATGATTGCATCTTAAGTGGTTGCTTTTAAATCCCCAGTCACTACTCACAAACGCAGGGTCATATTTGTAATTGCGTTTATAATCCTAGGTCAGCTTTCAGATTTGCCAGATCAGTGATTTTTTTTTATTAGTAAATTTTATTAGTTTTAATGAACATTTACAGGGATTTGGGGTTTTCATTCCTTCATTGCTGCACCATTCTCTCTACCCTCCTCCCCAGTTTGTTC